ATTAAAGTGGCGAGACTTCCAGCCAGTCTCTTAATTGGATGTAGGATGCAAATGCTGTTTACTGTTGATGATAACAGTACAAACAAGCAAACGCAAATGATGGTAACTAACAAACTACATGAACAGAATGAGTACAGTAACTGGAGAACTAACTGAAAATTGGAACAGGAACCACCTGCTAGCGCTAAAAAAAATGCAAAAACTAGGCTGCACATGCCAACAGCAAAAAGGGGCCAAACCGAATTAAGTAAAATATATCGCTGCAAAATTGCTTCTATATTTGAATGGATTTATCTCATGCTGATAACTCTACTGAGGAAGTGCCTGGTTTATAATTGTGTCATATGTACTTTTCACTGACCTTAATTTGCAGAGTCCCAGAATCCCTTGAAGTATGTTATTCTGTTACATACAGTCTGAAAGCCTTCCAACGTAAAAGACTGAAGACAGAGGAATACCTCAACATACACTATACAGATACGGTCTTTCCTAAACTGGTCCATCACCACTACCACTTCATTATGAGTGCCTTTGCTACACTCCAGTGGGCACAGGAAGCTACTGTCAACATTTGTATATAAAACAAGGAAAAACCTATTTTACTTTCAAGGTAAATCAGTGGAACCAGACTTTTTTTATTATTATTATGTTTTTTAGTATTATTTTTAAGTATCGTCAAGTCTGTTATGACTCCCGGCGATCATATGACTACTGTTTCTCTAGAATATCTTGTTTTCTGTTTGGGTCTTCATGACATCTCTTATTGTGTTTGTCCATCTTGTTGCCAGTCAACCTCTTCCTCTTTTACTTTCAGCTGTCCCAAGCATTATTGTCTTTTCCTATGAATTGGTCTTCTCATATGTCTAAAATAAGATCTTTAGTTATCTGAGCTTTGAGTGAGAGGAGAGGGTTGATTTGATTGAGAATCAGTTTGTTTTCTTTGCTGTCCAAGTTACTCAAACGCCTTTTACCAGCAAAAAAGTTCAAAGACATCAATATTTTTCCTGTTCTTTGTTTATAGTCCAGCTTGCACTTCCATAAACAACCAAAGACAAGACCACAGCCTGGACAATTCTGATCTTTGTATGTAGAGAAACATCACTACTTTTGGCACATTTCTTGGCAACTGGATCCTTTGTTGTCAATAAATGATCCAAGTAGGCAAAGGCTATCACAATTCCACACCTGCTTCAACAATGGTAAAGTACGTGCTCTTTCTCATTGTCAAAACCTTTGTTTTCTTCATTTTAGCTGAAGTCTCATCTTCTTACTCTGTTCTTGAACTTTCCTTGTAAGGGCCTTCAGATCATCCAGATTTTGCACAATGTGTGCTTCATCCATTATCTTTGGAATGAGTTAGAGTGGCATTTGTGATCCAAAACATCAGTACCTGACCTCAGTAATGCTCTTGTGACATTTTATAAACTTTTAATTTTGAATCTGTCCAGTCCAGACCGGCCTCATTGGCTCAGTAATGGGGCTTAAGTGTTCCACATCACTGGAGTATGCAGAAATACATTTTTGTGTAGATCTTCTTTTGCATGTTTGTCACACTTAGACACACTTTAGATCACTAAACAAATTTAAATATTAGACAAAGATAAAACAAGTAAACAGAAAATGCAGTTTATAAATGAAGGTGTTTATTATTAAGGCAAAAAGAAATTCGAACCTACAGGGCCCTGTGTGAAAAAGATTGCCCCCCCCCCTTAAAACATTAATTAGCTGTGGTTTATCACATTTTTGGAAAGCTAAGTTCAATTTCCCTAGCCACGCCCCGGCCTGATTACTGCCACACCTGTTCTCAATCAAGAAATTACTTAAATAGGACCTGCCTGACAAAGTGAAGTAAACCAAAAGATCCTCAAAAGCTAGACATCATGCTGCAATCCAAAGAAATTCAGGAACAAATGAGAAACAAAGTAATTGAGATCTATCAGTCTGGAAAAGGTTATAAAGCCATTTCTAAAGCTTTGGGACTCCAAAACACACTCTACTGTGGCAGAGTTCCAAGACGAAAACCACTGCTGAGCAAAAAGAAGATGATCCCCAAGACTTTTGGGAGAATATTCTGTGGACTGACGAGACAAAAGTTGAAATTTTTGGAAGGTGTATGTCCCATTACATCTGGCGTAGAAGTAACACAGCATTTCAGAAAAGGAACATCATACCAACAGTAAAATATGGTGGTGGTAGTGTGATGGTCTGGGATCCATGGAACCATGAATTCTCCTGTCTACCAAAAAATCCTGAAGGAGAATGTCCGGCCATTTGTTCCTGACCTCAAGCTGAAGCGCACTTGGGTTCTGCAGCAGGACAATGATCCAAAATACACCAGCAAGTCCACCTCTGAATGGCTTAAGAAAAACAAAATTAAGACTTTGGAGTGGCCTAGTCAAAGTCCTGACCTGAATCCGATTGAGATGCTGTGGCATGACCTTAAAAAGGCGGTTCATGCTCGGAAACCCTCCAATGTGGCTGAATTACAGCATTTCTACAAATATGAGTGGGCCAAAATTCCTCCACAGCGCTGTAAAAGACTGCTGCTAAGGGTGGCCCAACCAGTTATTAGGTTTAGGGGGCAATCACTTTTTCACACAGGGCCCTGTAGGTTTGGATTTCTTTTTCCCTTAATAAAAAAGATCTTCATTTATAAACTGCATTTTGTGTTTACTTGTGTTATCTTTGTCTAATATTTAAATTTGTTTGGTGATCTGAAACATTTAAGTGTGACAAACATGCAAAAGAAGAATAAATCAGGAAGGGGCAAACACTTTTTCACACCACTGTATATCATTATACTATGTCAACTGACATTAACCACAATGCTGGATTAACATTAACCCGACCAACATTTTCCTTCACTAACCAACAGCACCCTTTAGTATAAAGCATGAGCTCACCACAGGCACAGCTATTGCTCAAGGAAGACTACACAAGTTAAAATCAGCCAGCTGAGAAAAAAACACAGCACACTTAAAAATCTGATCATTCTAGACTAAAGCATACTGCCATGGCAGGCGTGATAAATGTTTATGGAGCGTTTATGTCTTTTTTATTTATTTTTGGTTAAATTTTACTCGTGAAAATTAAATTCTAATTGGAAAAATAACATTTTTACTACTGAAAATAAAATCTTCACATGTGTAAACTGATTTCCAGATATCAAGAAAAATAGGAATAAAAGCTAAAATGGCTTGCCATAATGATTAGAGAAAAGCATACATTTAAAGTATGTTACAATATGTTATAATAGGCTGTCTCTCCCAAACCCAGCTAACAGGAAGCAGTAGGCTACTCATACAGTTAACGAAAACCTAACGAAACCTAAAGTATCTGCTGTATCTTTTCATAATTATGTTACATGATACTTTGCCATCAACATGCTAGTTAACAGTGAACTGTCTCATGCTCAGTGTAGTTTATTACGAGTAGGTAACACAATACAACAGCTTTGAATTACCATTCATTTCTCATTTAATTGCTTGTTTAGCCAGCTTGTCACATCAGCCTAAACCGAGCAGCTACTGAACTAAAGAATGCTGACTTAGCTAGCAACATTACAAGTGATCCAAATAAAAAACAAATTAAGGTTTGCTTTTTACAAATATAATCTATCAAAAACCCCCATAAACTCTCACATTTCTATCATAGCTATGTTATATGTTAGCCCACAGTATGTATGCTGCATACCTGAACTGATCTCAAGAAGTCAAAGTTACTCCAGGTAGTGTTAGCAGCTTTACATTGTGGGATAAAAAAACTATATGATTTATAAAAATAAAACATCTCCATCAGAACCACTTGTTTCATATAACATATGCTTTTGAAACATCTATGAATGAGCGATTGTGCCAGAGCTGAAAAGCACAATTTTTTTTCATGCCAATTGCAAATATTCTAAACAGTCACAAATAATCAAACTACTGCAAACTGATTGGCAAAACTGTACTTTTAAGAGTGTCTGTCTATATTTTGTGAATTTGGGCTGCACAACGAAGCATCAAATGAGTATATTTAACTGCTAGTAAGCTAGCTTAAGATGCTGTAGGCTAAAACACAACTAAAGCAAACCTTATCTAACGAAATAGTTCTTACATGGCTGACCTGTCTCTACTTTGCTGAACAAATCAGTAATTTTTAACACCTAGCAGCTTCTTCTTTGAGTGTTTCTCTTTTTTTTATCCTTTCCCTCTCCGCACCACCTTTTCTCTTCTTCTCTATTTCTCGGTCAAATGCAATAAGCACAAACTCGCTAGCTTTATTGTATGCGTGAGAGCAGGTAATGAGTGTTTTTTACATGCTGCATCACAGCAGAAAGACGTTCGCGAAACAGGACTGCAGAGACAGTTTGTGTTCACAAGCTGTACTGTGTTGTTAAGTTCATTATACGATGTAACGTCATCTAACCAGGCCGTCCAGGCCAGCTGACAGGCCAGGCCGCCGGGGAATCTCCCTTTTCTCCCGAAGGCCAGTCTGGGCCTGCCAGCAGTGCCCATTAGTCACCACTCTCACAAACTACCTGCTGCGGGAATATTTGATATTTGTTTATGGCTGCTTGCCTTGCAAACTAGCTCGTCATACAGAGTCAGCTTCACCTCAAGATGGAAATTGGACAAGAGATAATGCTGTGCAGTGGAAAGGTTCGGACAATACGTATGCAAAATTTATCTTACATGTACGGCATTTGGCAGATGCTCTTAACCAGAGCAACTTACAATTTAATCATTTTACAAAGGAAAAGGTAGTGTTAGGAGTCTTGCCCAAGGACTCTTATTGGTATAGTGTAGGGTGCTTGCCCAGGTGGGGGATTGAAACTTAGTCTACAGCATAGAGGTCAGCGGTGTCACCCACTACACTATACCAATGTGTTGAAAAGACAGTGAGATGCTGATCTAGATTACTTACAGTGTGATCAGCTCCTGTCTAGAATAAAGTTACTTTAATATAAAAAAAAAACCTTTTCCTGACTTTTCATTTATTATTTTTAATTATTTACTTATTCATGTTTTATGTATTTGTTTTATTTGTTTTTTTTATTGTAATTATGTTTATACATTTTGGTTATACATTTGAGTACATAAGTGTTCATACATGTAAATAGGTTTGAGCTGCACTCAAGTACAAAAAATAAAAAATGTATTTGTATAGCATTTTTACTGACTTTGACAGCTTTACTGAAATTCGGTTTCACACCCCAAGTGAGGAAACCAAGGGCGACAGCAGGAAGAAAACTGCCTGAGAGCAAGAGGAACACACCTTAAGTTCCCACATTTTGACAAATATACTTTTTTAATAGCAAAACATTTTAAATTCTTATTGATCTGGAATTTTATACAGGGAGACAGCACTGTGGAACGGCTCCTCTTGGTTTAAATGATATTGTACTTTCATTGGCTAGAAATACAGCTTTATCCTGTTACCCTGCATCTATATATTTTTATTTTAGTTTAGTTTTTACTTTTATTGCTAGCAGGGCCCTGTTAGAGATGAGAAACTGAATGAAAAGCACTTTAAGGGTAGAAGTCACAAAGCCAACAGACTCACAGGTGTTTGCTTATATTTTCATTTTCTGCTTATATTTTCATTTCCTCTCATTTTCATTTTTCTTTTCACACTAGATGTTCTTCCATTTGACCTATTTTGCTTTCGCAAACAGTACAGTGCAGTCATCCTTACACATGAGTTCTCTCTCTCTCCTTTAACAAACAGTTGTCTGTGTGCAGTCTCCAGGGCAGCACAGATCATTAATCATTGTTGCTGAACTTACAGCGGTTAAACCGGCATTCCCACCACACTGGTAAGACTGGACATGTGTTTCCTGCGGAAATGTGCAACTCATTGTTAAAAGCGTAGAGTGCCTTTTTTTAGGAATTCAAGATTGGTATGATGTAACATTGCTTTTCTGTAAATGCATGAATTTCTACCTTGAAAATTAGTCATTTATTAAAGTTTACTCAAACCTCTTAATTTGTAATATTTTACTTTTTTTTTTTTAGATTTCTTAGCAGTATGTTTACCCCCACTTTTATCTGTTCTTATGCTTTAAATATGTATATATATATAATGTGTGTGTGTGTGTACAAAAAAATGAACGTTAACACTGTGAATGTTAACACTGTGAAAGTTTCAGAATGCTCCATTTATGGAAACTAAGCAAAAATACAGCAGTAGATTGACTGAATGTCTGTCTTCATAAAGGCACAATGTATCAAAGAAGGTACACCATCCACTTCTTGTCTGCAAAGTTAATTATTGCCTAAGCAGTTAAATAGATACTGGATACATTAGTGTCTCAGGAATTTGTGACACTTCAATTCACCAGTGTTCACTGCTGCTCACTATACATTATAGTGAATATCCAGAAATAGGACTTGTATAAGCGTCTCTTATATAGCTTAATCTTCATATTGTGAATGTGAATGTACCAGTAGAGCAGGGTGTAACATGCTGTGTGTGTGGTACATCATGTCTAATCAATAATTAAGGACAGACCCTGTAATGAGAGTTAATTAGGTTACTGAGGCAACAATGCATCAGTGTGAGTAATCCGGTTAAACAGTAGACAATCCAGTTGTTTTTCATGGTTGTGAGACGCTTTGTTTTTGAAGCAAAAACTCAATGTATAGAATTTCCAGCTGCACTGTTCTCTAGCCTCTATTGCTCTAATTCTGTTGCCAGTTACAATCAGCTTCATATAAGAACAGCAGAGAGGTCATTTCAGGGAAACAGGAAGTGTTCAAAACCTCTAACCGTTTTAGTCTTTGGTTTGTCACTTAACTTCTCCCATAGTTTGTTCTGTAAATAGTGTGAAAAGAACACACTACATGGATTACATACTATTACTAAAAAATCTAGAATCTGTCTGTTCAAATAAACAGTAACTAACAACATAGACATTCATGAGTTCTACAACACTTATACAGTAACACAGACATCCATACCTGAGTTCTACCGCACTAATACAGTAACACAGACATCCATACCTGAGTTCTACCGCACTAATACAGTAACACAGACATCCATACCTGAGTTCTACCACACTTGTACAGTAACAGACATCCATACCTGAGTTCTACCACACAGGGATTCCAGGCCTGGAGAAGTGCTCACCTCAGGTGGCATGGAGAGGATCCACATCAGCTCCATGCAGACAGTCCACCAGTGTCCCACAAAGGTTAGTGCCTGGTCCTTATCTTGCTTCTCTCTATACTCACTGATTTGGCAATGTAATATCTTCATGGCTTTACTTACCATACACATGCTGATGATGCTCATCCAGTCTTCTACTTCCCACCTTTTACCAGAACCTGTATTCCATCAAGGCAGAGGTGTCAGATCAACCCTTTTTCTCCAGGAAGACGGCCCATCTGCTTGTTAAGTTCTTTGTTGTCTCAGGACTAGACCACTGCAGTTCGTGCTTGATTGGACATCCTGTGCTTGCCATCAGGGCTTTGTGGCTGACTCAGAATGCAGTAGCATGTCTTGACATCAATCTTCTGAAGTTTACCCATGTTACTTTTCTGCTCCTCCCTTCCTGTCTTCCTTCCTGGCCTACAACAGATTCAAAACCTTGACACTTGTCAACAAAGCCAAAAATAAACCAGTGCCTCCCTACCTGACAGTTGTGACAATATTCAAGTCCTGCTGTGTGCAGCAAACAATTAAAACATGTGAATCTAAGAAAAGTAGCAATTATAAGAAAATATAGGTCTGTATACTCTCAAAAAAAAACATATGAAACTGTTACTGGGGCAGTGCCCCTCTTGTCACTGCAGTGGTACCCTCAAGGGAACATCTCAGTACCTTTAGTCAGGGAACATAATTGTAGCATAATCCATTGAAATATGTTCTAAGTTGTATTGACTCCACACATCCCGTCTCGTCTCCAGGCTTTTTATTTTATTGTTCTGTTTTAAAACATTAGGTTATGAAAAAAGATATAAATATGTACTTTTCCACTGGAAAAAAACTTATTTAGGATACCATTAATCACTGATATACCTTTGAGGGAACATTTACTATTTCGTGCATTTTATCTGTTTTGTCACTCAAGCTGGAAAAGGCACTTTTGCATTGCCACTTTTTATACTTTTACACATTTAATCTGGACACATGAATCTTTGAGGGAATTTGCATTTTGAAGAAGAATAAAGGAACACTAGGATCACATTTTGTACTAAACAATTAGATAAAAACAAACATTGCAACACTGAGTGTAGAGCAAATTTTCAAATCAGTTTTGCGCTGCCAATTCATTAAGGAAATATCATACTATTATACTATACTAAATCTATGTATAGTATATTTTTCATTTGGATTTTTTAAGATTTAGATAAATCATAATGAGATAAGAGATTAACAAAATCAGGCATTTTTATATGACAAAAAGTATATAAGAAATCAAAAAAGAAAAACTATGAAAAGCCTGGACTGAGCTACTTTGGCACAACATTAGCACATTTTGCTACTTTTTCACCTGACCAGGGTTCAGTTTTATGTACTAGGTAAGTATTTAGCAGTTTGATATAACTCCTTGAACACCTGTCTCCTGTTTGCAATATTGAAGACAACATCCTATAGTGTTACCACTACATCCATTATTTCCATAAACAATCTGAAAGGTTGGACTTATCAAATCACAAAATGTTTCCACTGTGCATCAGTCCATTTTAGTTTCTGTTTTTATTTTTACCTACTTTCCCAACTTTCTTGTACTTGAATTCACACACAATATTAAACAGCATTCAATGATTTGTGCTCTGGGTTGAAAGAAGAAGAGAAAAGTCCACCACTAAGGATGAAGACAAAGGACTGAAAGACATGGATGAGATTTTCTACAGAGAATCATTTTTCAATTAATTTGAATTCTGGGTGTCACTATAACCCTTTATTAGCCGTCTCCATGTTAAAATAAATTCTATCACTTTTTAATTTAACATTTGCTTAGAATTTTCAGTATTTACCATAGACACTGTATGGAGAGTAAGTATTGGGACACACCTCCTAATAATTGAGTTCAGGTGATTCACCCACACCCATTGATAACACGTGGAAAAAATTAAGCACATAGCCTTGCAGTCTTAAAAGATACACACTGTCAGTAGAATGGGTCGTAATGATGAGCTCAGTGACTTTAAACATGGCACTGTCATAGGATGCCACCTCTGCCACATGTCCGTTTGAGAAATTTCTGTAAAGATGTAAAGATATGGATGGTAGTGGAGAAAATATAATAAATGCTGTAAAATAACTATCCCTAAACTAAGAGGAAAAACATGTTACAATATAAGGTAAACCATAATGGAGCATTTAAGAAATGAAACATTACATTTTATTGCCTGTGACGCTACTCAGCCCCCCATGAATGAAAAGGGTCTCATTCGTTTGTGCTGCATTTGTGCTGGTTTGTGCTGTTTTAATTATCCAGTCAAAAAGCCATAAAGGTTGGATGAGTGACATCACACAGACCCCCATCAACATCCAAATCGCACCAAAAGGGTCTTATTCATTTGTACTGGTTTGTGCCGTTAAAAGAAATGGTTCTGCTGTTGTATTTATCAAGTAACAGGCAAAAATTATTGTTAAATATGTGATGTTACTCCGCCCTCCCCCCCAACGTCCTTTACGTCATTTACCACAGGATTAACACTAGTTGATGATGAAGAGAATGAGTAGAAGTCCAGACCTGAGTAAAAGCGATGATTTGAAATGACTACTTTTCTCTTTAAAAAACATTTTCAAAACGAATCAAGGGTTTTGTGTGATTACACTTAGTTTAAGGAATAAAAACATTCATGTTGGTCTTTCAGTGTATCATGTGTGCTCATGTTAATGTGTCACTTGTTAAAATGCTCATCAAATATCAACGAAAATTTACTGGGACCACCAAGAACACAACAGATCTTAATAGTGACCAATGTGGGCTTTATCACACTCTGGAATTTTTGTGGATATTTCCTCAAACGGGTTTAGTGATGGCATCACTTATTTAATGATAATATTTTGCCTATTACTTAATAAAGTGTGTGTGTGTGTGTGTGTGTGTGTGTGTGTGTGTGTGTGTGTGTATGCCTGTGTAATTATAGTTTTAGCTCTGTACGTGTGTGTGGTTTACATAATAAAATTATAAATAATAATCATTTTCATGTATATACATATATTACTTATAACAGTGAACTTCTATTCATACCATAAAATTGGAATATTCAAGAAAATGATGTTAATTAAGCCCTAAAACTGACCAAAAGTAATGGCAAAAACACAGTCGGTAACAAGTCATTTGCCAAGTCCCGGCCAAGTCTGCTGGCCCAACTTTGGGCCGATGTTCAAAAAGACATTGGCCCTAGTCTGGCTGCCGACTTTGGCCCAGCCTCAGGGAGAGTCGGCAAACGGATTAGGCCCAGCTTTGCGCCAGCACGCATTGGCTGTCTAGGTATATATGGTTATAGATATAGTTAGATAGACTTTATTAACCCACCTGTAGTTCTGTTGCTGAGCTGAATGAATAAAAGCAACCACATATCGATTATGACATGATTTGACAGAATGCTGTCTGTTGTGTCGTCGTGAAAGTATCACACACAACCTCAAAGGAAGAGACGGAGGCAGAGCGGAGTAGTTTTGCAGCTTGCGTTTACTTCTCTGGACTACAATACCCAGGTAGGCACAGACAACAGTATGGTGCGCCAAGCAGCCAAAACACGTTACCAATACATAACATATTCCTCCCCCCTTACTTTGAATGTCCACCAATGCTAACACTTAGCTCTTGACTGGATATTGTCCATGTCTATCAGTTATGCAAGTTCTCGTAACAATATTAACAATATAACTGACACATTTTTTTTTTGCACTAGGGAAAGAGGGTAGACTGCCTCGTTTCCTGGGCTGAACCCTGGGGATTATTCTGCCCCAAAACATGGGCTAGCCTCTAGGCTACATATTCAGCCTTTTAGGGGGTCACCTCATTCTTGGGGCTTGGGTGTTTGCCTTGCCAGCGAACTTGGAGTAGCATGTGGCCCAGAAATGGGTGACGATGGACATGAGCCTGTAACAGTCACCTTGACTTATTATAAGTTTAGGGGTTACATTTATAGTCCGAGGATACACAGCTTATGATTAAGAGCTAATGTAGTACAAACCAACAAAGTCAAGCACACAAAAAACCCAAAATAGACCCTGTTTAACCTGGCACCCAGAAATGCTTTATATATTTAAAGGTATCTGCCAAAACATACACAATTTATAATGCACAAACAGAACCCTCACACCATCAAATTTTAACAACATTCCATGCCCCTCTCCCAGTTTCTCCAAAGTCCAACAAGTCCAAAATGCAAAAAAATCGAAAAATGCTTAATCAAAAATTCAAGTCCTTAGCAATGCATTGCAAAAAACAAACAAAAAACATAAACCAGCTGGATCTCACCGGCAATGGCAGGCCTATCCTCAAGCTTCTTTCAGATCCCTGAGGATTAATCCACTTTTCTTAGAGTCCTTTTTAATCCTTTTTTGAACATGCTTGGTCCACCGGTCTGCCAGTCCATAAGTAGAGGAATAAGAGGAAATGTTGGTGGCTTTTGTTAATCCCTTCAGTACTCACAAAACACACCAAACTTTCCTCTTTCTTACACCGCCATCTTGTCTCTCCTTCCTCCTCCTCTCTCTCTTTTTGACCAGGAAATGCTCCTCCTGTTTCCCCCGGAGCTCCACCCCTAGCATTTCCAGGAAGGCTCTTAAAGGAACAGTGCTATGATGGTTCAGCAAACAATTTTATTCTGGTCCCCTTTTTACCTGACCTCGAATAGCAAAACTCACCAATTTTAAATGTTAGCACACAGGAAGTTTATCCTTGCAAGACATTTAAGTTTTAAACACTTTCTTTGAAGTAATGTGCTACATATATATTTCCTACAAAAGACCTTTCATGTGGCAGTGTCACAGACGCCAAACTGGAGGTATTGAGGGTCTTAGCCCCCAAAATAAGGCTTTAGATTACCCACATTTACAGTATCTAACTTATCTGAGTTGTCTTGCCATTTAAGCCTATAATTAACAGGACCAAGTATTTTCATCACTTTAGCCGGACCTGTCCACTTAGGTGCTAGCTTTGACGAAAATTTGTCAGAGGCTTTGGACTGAGGGTGTGCCCTCACCCAGACAGGATCTCCCACAAGAAATTGCGCAGGTCTCCTATGGGCATTGTCTGTGTTTGGCCACTCCTACTCTCCACCTTACCTACTGTGCCATCAGATGTTGTCGTTCCAGTACTGAATATTGTGGTTGCTGTGGATCCAGCACTGGAGCTTGATGAATAAGCCTCTCTAATGGGCCTTTTAGTTGTCTTCCAAGGGCCATTTCTGCTGGAGTCCGCCCGGTGGTTTCGTGGCGGGAGCTGTTAATTGCGAATTGGAACTCCGTCAACCACTTATCCCATTCTATCCCACAAAAGAGGCTATCATGGTCTTTAGGGTTCGATTAATTCTTTCTGTGAGATTGGTCTGGGGATGATAGCTGGTGGTCATCTTCTGTATGACTGGTATTTGGGAACCCCCCATCTGGTGAAGATCTCGTCCCTTAGCAACTGACAAA